TCGAAGATATTTTCGACCTTTTCGGTTTCGGCGATATGTTCGGCGGACAGCGCGGCGGTCGCGGACGTTCAAACGTTCAGCGCGGCGCGGATTTGCGTTACGATCTGGAGATTGCGTTGGAAGACGCGGCGGCAGGCAAAGATGAAAAACTCCGTATTCCGCGCCTCGAAACCTGCGCTGAGTGCGACGGCAAAGGCGCGGAAAAAGGAACTTCCGCCGAAAACTGCATCACCTGTCAGGGAAGCGGGCAAACACGCTTTCAGCAAGGCTTTTTCAGCGTTATGCGGACTTGTCCGAATTGCGCGGGAAAAGGTCAGATCATCAAAAATCCGTGTAAAAAATGCCGCGGCGCAGGTCGAGTCGAGAAAGAAAAAACTCTCGACATCAAAATTCCCGCCGGAGTTGAAACAGGTTCGCGTCTGCGCGTGACGGGCGAAGGCGAATCGGGCGTAAACGGCGGACCGTCAGGCGATCTGTTCGTCGTTATTCACGTTGCCGAACACGATACTTTCGAGCGTCAGGGTGCAAATCTTTATTCGGCGGTTCCGGTCACGTTTTCGCAAGCCGCGCTCGGCGCGGAAATTTCCGTGAAAACGCTCGACGGCGAAGAACCTTTGAAAATTCCCGCCGGAACGCAGACCGGAACGGTTTTCCGAATTAAGAGTCAGGGAATGCCCGTTCTAGGCGGACGCGGAAAAGGCGATCTGTTCGTTGCCGCGACCGTCATTACACCGAAAACTCTGACCAAAGAACAGCGCAAATTGCTCGAACAGCTTGCCGAGATCGAAGATGTCGAATTTCAGGATCAATCTTTTATCGATAAGGTCAGAAATATTTTCGGTTAGAATACAGCAAAGAAAAAAAGTAAAAGACTGTCGAATGATTCGACAGTCTTTTACTTTTTTTTGAAGTTATTTGACCGTGAAATTATAAACTGCCTTTTCTTTATCAAAGCGCAGTTCGATGCGGTAATTTCCCTTATCGAGTTTGGCGGGAGGAAGCAGTAATCTGACTTCCGAACCTGCCGTGTTTTGATAGATCGAAACATCTTTCAGCGTTACGAGCAGATTTTCTTCGCGGTATAGTTCGGCGGTCGGCTTGGCGGATTGCTTGCCTTGCAAGGCAAGGCGCAACAAAATCGGCTGAACCGAATTATC